ATGAAAGAAATGTGGGTGTCAGTATCAGAATCACGTCCACAGATAGCCAGTAACAGGTGTGTCCAACAAGGAAATGCATGGCATTGGTGATGGATACTCCCATTGTACCCATCACCATCAGATACGAACAATGACAGGAACAATGGTGGAATATAACTTATCTGCATACTTCAGAATTAATAGTAAAGCACAGAAATATCTCTGTTATGCAACTTTGTTACTTCACTCCACTTGAAATATATATATTCCATTTATTTTTAGCTTTATTATGCTAGAAATTTTAAATTGCAAAGGCATAATAAATATTATGCTATATTCCAATACCCTGCAGTATATTAATAATAAAAATAATATCTAGCTGCAACATTAAAGTGAATAACTGACATTAAAATCTTTATGGCATTTTTTTTTACATGGTTTCCATGTTTGTGTGTAAAAGTTTAGCTATGAACAGAACGCCACCACTGAGACTCCTGCTGTGATTAACGTGTCCTGGTCTGTGTTCCTGTTCAGGGTCGTTGTTCAAATGTTGCACTACCAGTATATGTGTGGTGTACTGGGGACAAAACTCATATCTCAGTATCTTTACACAAAAATATAAATATGTTCTGACCAAATACTATTAAAATTTTAAAAAGCAGTTCTTTCACCTTGGTCTAAAATATTATGTTGTTAAATGTTACTTTTTTAAAACTTAAAGTTTAAGCCAAAATCACTGGAACAGTGTCTGGTTTAAATGCAAAACTCACAGTTTTATGTCATTTAACTTCATGTCAGTCACGATGGATCAGTCTCTGAGCGTTGCTGACTGTGACCAGGCCGGCACGCTGATTCATAAAAGGAGTTTTCTCCTGCTGAATTTGTTGTAAAACTGTTAAATCTTCTTTATATTCATTTTTGTTCACTTAAGTGTCAAATGTGACACCAAAATTATATAGCAAAGGGGAAAAACAAGTTTTTTGTGGTTTTTTCAAACTGGTAAGTATTTAAATATATTTTTACTAAACCACTGAAGTGGTTCCAATATTTTAATATTTCATGTTTGAAAACAACAAACAAACAAAAAACACATTCACATTTTGCCTCCAACAGTCCTTTAATTTATTTGAATATGATAAATTATCTCAGTATTTTGCAAGTTTAAGTAATTAAATCTATGAAAGTGAATGTTTCTGGGCTTCCCTGGTTAGTTACTTTTATTTTTTTGTATGTTTCCTGTTTTAGTTTGACAGTGCATCGCCTTGTCTTGTTACTTAGATTGTGTTCACCTGTCTCTCCTTCCCCACCTGTTGCTTGCTTTATTTTTGTACTAAGTTTGTAAGTTTAATAAAACTGCTTTTACTTTACCCCTCATGTTTTTGAGTCCTCAGTTTGGGTCCTGCCTACTACATAGCTTGACGTGACATACTTGGGCAATCTGAGCTAAAACATCTGGAACAACATGAAGGAGGTGGGCTCCTGCACTCCTGTGATTCTTCATCCAAACTCTATTCATCTACACCTGAAGATCAAAACACGCGATCATCAAAGAACTGTTTTCATGTATTTGCACAAAGAAAGAACCACAGATGATATTACCAGTGACTGTGAGAGTGGAACAGCATGTGGACCCTTTATCCACATGTTTCATCTCCTGTTGTTTTGGTCCGTACCTGAGTGTGATTACTGTGTTCACACTGCACAAACAAACCACACCAAGGTGGAAAACAAATCAGAGTTCAATTTAAACTGACTAAACACTGCAGGTGTGAAAACACCCTTAACCCTTTACTGCATGAATTATGACAACCTCAGGCAGGAATGTTAAGTATTTTTATTCATCTTTAGGCAAGAAAAAAAGATTTGTGAACTTCATTTTTTAAAAATGTACTTTTCAAAGAGTCTTTTGAAAAGTACATGTTTGCCACCCACTGGTGGCAGGGCATGGTGTGACACATCAGTGTCCAATGTAGTGGTTTATGCGCAACTATACCATCAACACTGACACAAATACAAGAAAACAGCCTTTGAATAGCTGTAACTGTGGTGACCATTATGCATGAAAGGGTTGATCCAGAGTCAGCACATTATCAGACTGCACAGATGTAACAAATATGGGAATTAAAGGAAAGAACACTTTTAACTTGCAATTAGAAAATTCAATTAGAAATTGGCTGTGTTCAGACTGACAGATGATTCATAAAGAAGTTTGTCCAGCTCAATTCTACATATGACATTTGAAAGGGGACAGAAGTGTTTTTTTGTAATACTAGTGGGCTCAAGTAATTTAATAGTCTGGAAAACCTCATTCACAAATTACCTCCAAAACATGAAATTAATTTAAACTGCAATTAATTTGTTTTTATTTTTATCCCTGAAGTAAAAAAAAAGCTGTAAAAATTATTAGGTTTTGAGCTTAATTGTTTTATCTACGTTTGCTATTATATTTTTCATAATCTTCACAGATCAGTATTGTCCCATTCACTTGGTAATATCTTTGACTGAAGTAGGTGGTTCTCTGGTGCTCTGGTACATATGTTCAGTTATGTGTAGAAGAAGAGTCCACTGGTGTTTCAAACACCCTTCTTTGTGTGAGTGTTTCTAATCAAGATTTTAGGTTTTGTTGAACCAGCTCACACAAAGAAAACTTGTTTATCTTAAACCTGAATCACAGTACACCTCTGAGTGCTCTTTCTGCTAGACTGTCATCATCTAAATCCTCTGAAGCCACATCAGTGTTCACTTTCTTGCCTTTATATAGAGTGTGCTTTGATGTTGTGGGGAGAGCTGGGAGTCTGTCAAAGGAAGTGATTAGTGGACTGCACGTCTGAGTCATTATTACTCAACTTTCACCCATAAGTAACCACCGGCATCACATCGGTTAGATTTTGGCAAAAAAATAACCTCCCTTACATGGGAGCTTCCTCACAGGCTGTTAGAGGCAACAACAGAATCAGGGAAGCTCTCATTTTATATGATATGTTAGAATCTGTAGTAAAATCCTTAATAACACATGAAAATGGGTCTTTTCAATCACAATGTTTGTTCAGAATGAATTGCTGAAGTGGAACATCTTTGAATGGCAGAAATGTACACATATAGGGAAATGTTACTTGCTATTTGTCTTCCTCTTTCGATGTGGACATAAATCACATGACAGCTTCATTTTGTCACCAATGCATTAAAACTGACCATCAGCAGCAGACACAACCAGAGGAATTACAGCTGCTGGGGGAAGAAAGCCGGGAACACTGAAACGGAGGAAGGCTGGGGTACATCTGAACCTGCTGCTCAGGAAGTAAGTTTCAGGAAGCTTCCTCATTATACAATGCAAATCTAAACACTCTGAATAGATCGCTGTCACTGTAGTTCTAAATATTTAACTTTTACCTTTGATTAAAAAAAGAAATTACTTGACTTGAACTTTTTTGCAGATTTGTGTGCTGCAGTTAAAAGTTTTATGTTTTCATTAAATAAATATTTCTCTTTTGTGCATCTACTTTAATTCATGGACACTGAGTGAAATGGTCTACAGTACTGTCTCTTTACTCAGTACCATCCTGTGTCTGGTGTGCTTAGGTTAACTATGAAGCAAGATTAATGGGTTAGCCGGCTCTACTGAGCCAGAGATTTTAGTGTTGATGGCTGTTCTCGATTTATAAATAAATAATAAATAGATAAAATTTTATTTATATAGCACCTTTCAGAATCACAAAGTGCTGCACATAAGATAACAAATAATAAAAAGGTAAAACAGACAATTTAACCAAAAACAGTTTTAAAAAGGTGAGTTTTGAGTTGTTGTTTTTTTAAAACAACTACTGAGTCCACAGTTCTTAATGTATGAGGGAGAAATTCCACAGTCTCGGGCCAAAGGTGGCAAAAGCTCGGTCACCCTTAGTTCTCATATTAGTCTGTTTTATAGCAAGTAAGCCCTGATCAGATGACCTCAGGGACCTGCTAGGGACATAGGGCTGTAGCAGATCGTAGATGTAGGGCGGCGCCAGTCCATGCAAGGCTCTAAATGTCAAGACCAGCATCTTAAAATGGACTCTAAATTCAACAGGAAGCCAGTGTAGTTGAAATAGCAATGGTGTCACATGTGAGTACTTGGAGGATTTTGTCAACAGCCTATAGCTGCAGCGTTTTGCACAACCTGCAGACGAGAGAACCTTTGCTTAGACACATAAACAAAGAGTTACAATAGTCCAAGCATGAGGAAATAAATGCATGTATAGCTATCTCTAGTTCAGGGCGAGATAAAATAGGGCTTAACTTAGCCACATTTCTTAAATGATAAAAACAAGACTTTTCACATGCCCATCCAATGTGAGAGTCGAGTCAAAAGTGAAACTTAAATTCCTGATAGAGGATTTAACATACACTGAAAGAGGACCAAGGGCTTTCACTATCTGGGATAAAAATGTATTCGATTTGCCTGGTTAGATCACCAAAGTGGTTTAAAGTTGTTGGGAAGTAGCACATCTTCACTGATTCCAGTATGCTGTGTGATAAAGAGTCTCTGCTGAAGGAATAGGACATTTTTAAGCAGGATCTTACTAACATCAGTAAATTAATTTGAGGCAGATCTAATTGTGCGTTGCATTGAATACATCATCTGGATGGGAGCATTTGTTCGATATGCCTTTCTGCAGATGGGGCCTTTCCAGATTTGCAAGTCCATAGGCACTAATGCACCCCCATAGATCAGAAAGCATTGATTACAAGCTGGATGGTCTCTCTCCTTGTCAGTCCAGAAGATGCAGTGCTTTTCTGAATCATAATCAGTTATGGCTGCTTTGACTGAACTTGAACTTGCGTTTGCAGATGGCTCAGCAAACTGTGCTCGCAGACAATGATTTCTGGGAGTATTCCTGAGTCCATGCAGTGATCTCCACGACACAATCGTTCCTGTTTTTAATGCAATGCTGCCTGAGGGCAGGAGATTTTTTAAGTCCTGCCAACTTGTGGATTCACATTTAAACTGAGTTCTTTTTTCTTTCTTTTTTTTTGTAGGCAAAATGACTGAAAAAGATCTCTCCTGTCCTATCTGCTACGACATCTATAGAGACCCTGTCGTCCTCTCATGCAGCCACAGCTTTTGTAAAGACTGTCTGCAGCTGTGGTGGAGAGAGATAAAAATAAAATCCTGCCCAATATGCAAGACGATTCCTTTACTGAACGATCCGCCCTGTAACTTGGTGTTAAAGAACCTCTGTGAGGCCTTCTTAATGAAGAGAGTTCAAAAACCTTCACAGTCGGAGTCTCTCTGCAGTCTGCACTCTGAGAAACTCAAACTCTTCTGCCTGCACGATCAACAGCCAGCATGTCTCATCTGTCGAGATTCAAAAGTGCACAACAGTCACGGATTCAGACCCATTGATGAAGCAGCACAGGATTACAGGAAGGAGCTCCAGGAATTATTGAAGCCCTTACAGAAGAAACTGGAACTATTTGAACAGGTTAAAGAAAATTACAGTCAGACAGAACTCCAAAGTAAGATCCAGGCTTTTTACACAGAATGGCAGATTAAAAAGCAGTTTAAGAAACTTCACACGTTTCTAAAAAAGGAAGAGGAGGCCAGGCTGGCTGCTCTGAGGGCCGAGAAGAAGCAGAAATGCAAGATAATAAAGGAAAAGATTGGGGCCCTGAGCAGAGAGATAGAAACTCTTTCAGAAACAATCAGAGCCACAGAGGAGGAACTGAGAGCTGAAGATGTCTCATTTCTGCACAACTACAATGCTGCACTGAAAAGAATCCAGCAGCGCCCCCTGCTGGAGGATCCACAGCTGGTCTCTGGAGCTCTGATAGATGTGGCCAAACACCTGGGCAACCTGACCTACAACATCTGGAACAGAATGGGGGAGATGGTCTCCTACACTCCGGTGATTCTGGATCCAAACTCAGCTCATCCACAACTCATCCTGTCTGAAGATCTGACCAGTGTGAGTGTGGGACTGAGAAAGCAGCTTCCTGACAACCCAGAGAGGATAGAAAACTATTTTGTCATCCTGGGCTCTGAGGGCTTCGACTCGGGGATTAACAGCTGGGATGTTGAGGTTAGAAATGATGGAGTCTGGTGTCTCGGTGTACTAAAGGAGTCTGTTCAAAGAAAGGGACATATACACACTGGATACTGGGAACTCTGTCACCAGGATGGAAAATACACAGCATCCGCTCCACCGCTTCCAGATAAAGTTCTCTCAGTGAAGAAGCTCCAAAGACTCCGAGTTCAGCTGGACTGGGACAGGAGGAAGCTCTCGTTTTTTGATCTGGACACCAACTCACACATACACACCTTCAAACACACTTTCACTGAGAAGCTTTTTCCATACATTGGCACCAAGACTCTGCCGGTGAAAATATTACCAGTGATGGTCAGTGTAGAAAAACACAGGGTTCCATTATCAGTGAAGTTTTCGCCTCTTTCTAAACTCGGTCTGATTTAATCAAAGCAACTGAGAAATAAACATTCTTATAATGAAACAAAGCAATCTTGTATTCAGTCTCCTGGAAGTCTTCAGTGTTACTGTAATAATTTGTATTATCACAAAGTCTTTACTTTACAATGTTTCTGAGGTGACTGTGTTTGTGATTTGGTGCTGTATAAATAAAAATGAACTGAAGTGAATATAATTGAATGTTTTTTGTGAAGAGAGATGTTTGTGTATCTATCACACGTTCAGAGCTGCAGTTCTGCTTAAGTTCTTATTACTTTCAACATCCAACAGATCAGGACAAAAATAGACACACACACACATAAAAGACAAAAAAGTGAATTAGAGCACATGAATAAGCTCTTCTTAATTCTCTCCAGCAGGGAGAAAGTATGTAAACTCCTAGGCTGATAAACATGAAAGTCACCAAGGGGAAATCAACAAACTGCCGCATTTGATTCCCAAAGAGCTATGAGCTGAAAATGTGATATGTCTTAGCATGGTGTGCCGTGTATCCTTTAAAAAAAAGACAACATGAGGTCCTCGGGCTGTACAAACTGTACAACCCGAGGACAAAACAAGCCAAAGACCAAAGACTCCATCTCCAGATTAACCGGACATGAAAGTCTTGTTATTAAGAAAGACAAAGTAATATAGCAAAAACCAGACATAGGAAATGTGACGCGCACCCAGCAGATCAATTAATCCCTTTATTGTTCACTTTAGGCTCATAAAACTACAATAAACTGTAAAACTTACCAAATATGCATCTGCACAGCGCTGTCTCTTTAAATGCCCTTTTTTGCTCTGTCTGGTCCTTGGTTTTTTTCCCTGCCCAGCTGAGTACCGAGGCCAGCTCATTTGGCGGTGCGGCGGACCGTCCAATCAAGGCAAAGCGTCTCACCTATAGACACATTTTAAGAGATGGAATTAGCGTGTCTCATGTCTTAAATGTGTACGCAAGTGCTTGTGTGTTTAATCAACAGGCCGTTGTTATGTATTTTAATCACATCTGACAGCTATTACACTACAATAGTTACAAAGTGAACATAACCTTTATATACTTACCATTGCCTTATTTGCCTCTTGTGATTGAAGAGCTGCCTCTGCATTGTTTAGCTCCTCCATGTTGTGCAAGGGCAAATCCAGAGGCAGTACCCCAGCATCTACCGATTCATTGCAGCAGGGATGGCGGTTGGTTCTGACCTCCTCACGGAGTTCGTTAACTGCTCTCGTCAGGTCTGACAGCATCGTTAACATCTTTTGTGAGGTCACATCTGTTTCAAAGAACAATTCTAGAAAGATTAATGGTTTAAGCAGTGAGAGGAGAAAAACTAATATATCCATAAGTGATGGTGTAACATTCTGCATTCAAGTATAAGTTGTTGTAACTGCTAAAAGTGTTTACTAGTTTTTTCCTGTCACATATATTTGATATTTGTATATGTAGCTTGCCATCACCAGTGTGTGAATGTGTGTGTGAATGGGTGGATGACTGAATGTGTAAAGCGCTTTGGGGTCCTTAGAGACTAGTAAGTGCTATACAAATACAGGCCATTTACCATTTATACCATGTAAACTCTGAAATTCCAAGATTTTCAAACTTGCCTTGTAATAGTGGCCTCACAGAGTCTCTGGAATCTACAGAAAAAATAAATCACAAAAAGATGACATTCAGGAGTATAAACTGGTGTTCTGAAGATAAGAGCACAATGACATTGTGATGCAGCTTTAAAACTATTTTAAAAGCATACCCTTTATAGGGAAGACATCGACATCAGACTCTGCAGGCTGGGGAGATCGCAAAGCTGTGTTGGCGAAAGGTGCTGCAAGCTGGGCGGGGCATTATGATGGTTGCTATCAGTGGGCTGGGGGGCAGACTGCGGAGTGGTGAGGGCTGTTTAGAAATTTATTTAAGAATACAGACAACTTGTCAAAAAAGTATCTAACTGCTAACTAAAAGCAAAGGATCCAGAATTTGTTGCTGGCTGCTGGGCTCTGTGGGTTTTTGCAGCAGCTCTACCTGTACTAGATGCACCTGCTCCTTGTCTTTTCTATCTCTGACTTTATGTCCTCTACAAGAGTTTCTGTTTTTCTTGCTAGTTCTTCAAATGTTCAATAAAACGTGTATGATAATTCATAATGAAGAAAGCTTTGTAATGAAGACTGTCATTTCCAAAACACTGCCCCCCTGCGTCCGCAGCGCTGTTGAAAAGGCTGTGGAAGTCCCTGTATTAAACACGTAGACCTGTGACACAAAAATCACCAAACTCGGACGACCACAGACTGTTTTCCTTCGTGGTGATGAAGGAAAACGCTGGGTTGGCATGTAAAAGGGCATTTATTCCCTTCAAAGACCTGCAGTTCAAAAAAGCGCCCCTCGTCAGCCAAACCCATCTGTTCTCTGATTGGATTGTTACATTTGTGATTGACATGACATTGACCAATCAGATGAAAGGAAGAAAAATAGGGTCAAAATTCGTACTTGTAACTTGCAGGGTTTTTTTTGGCTAAGTGCACACACAAATCTTTTTTACACATACGAAACTGATTTACAAGTACAAAATATTTATGACCACATTTTGAGCCCATAAAGTACAGCATCAAATGCAAGCATTTGCGGCACTGCAAAACGTTCATTCTCCGGTTCCAAAACCTTCTTGCTTTTTCTTTGCCCCCCAAAAAGTTATGTACAAAACGAAGGAGAACAATGCCGGTCCGTACAAAGACAGACTCGACGAAAAGGCAAAGAAAAGACACGAGGAAAAAATCAAAGGAGTGAAAGGGTCAGAACCTTACGAGCACAAAGAGTGGACAAAATACGTTAGCGTGCTGCCCAACTTTCACCACGCTCATATTTATAATTATACGGTTCTTGGAGTGAGTGCATACACTCGTGAAGTTTAGTAACTTCAGGTCACTGCAACAAGCCCAGGTACAGTTTACCCACGGATGGGTACAGGACCATTTCAATTGAATTGGTACTGAGTTCAATTGAAAGCCTGTGTGCGCTAGTACCTCTTGCCACGAGTTCCCAGAATCCTTTGCGGTTTTGCCCCTGAATGACGTCACATTTTCAATCGCTATTTTCTTGATGTGAGCTTCTACTTAGGGTTTTTTCTTCCAGTTAAGAGCAGAATTTCTTTAGTTAAGATACTGGATGTTGTGTTTTTCTCCACAATTTTAATTATAAGCTAGATACATTGCTGCTAACAGCAACAGGGATGAGTCAGTGAGTCAGTTGGGCTTGTGAATCATGATTCATGAGTCAGTAAAGTGATTCTCGAGTATTGAACGATTCGTTCATGATTCACGCATCACTAGTCTAAAGTTTTCGTGTGCGAATAGATTATGATTGTGTCCCAATTCAGGGTCTGCACGCTAGGTTTCTTTGAAAAATACTTTTTTATATCCAGGTTTTTCCTTTTTTCTGTCATCCTCCTCTCCTCGTGGCAGCGCAGGCTTGCCGCTGCTAAAACTAAACAGAGCTCCCTGAAAGGCACAGCCAATCACATTGGCCATATTTTTGTCACATGCGGTAGGACTCCAGTAGAGAACGTAATTTAACTCTTTCTGCACCGCTGGGTGAATGAGACGTTGACAGATCGTTTTTTTTTTCTTTCTATCATGTTTGTTTTTCTTTACTCGAAGAGATCAAATTATTGGTGGGGACAGTTCAATAATCGCTGGATATTGGTGGAGACATGTCCCTTCCGTCCATGCCAAATCTAACCTTTGGGCAAAAAGGCCTACAAACAAACAGCAACTGACAGCTGCTGCAGTAAAGGCCTGGCAGAGCATTAGAAAGGAGGAAACCAAGCATCTGGTGATTTCCATGAATTCAAGACTGGGGTCCCGGAAGACTGGAATTAGGAAGGGCAGGTTTTCGAACAAGAGCGACAGGATTAACCCGTCCTGTGTGCCAGAGAGGACTCGGATCTACTATGACAAATGTAACTTGCCACTGTTCAGTACAGAGGCTAGGTTGATTGAAAATAACATTAAGTTATTTGAACTCCTCGTAGATGTCACATACATACTTAAAAGTACGACTGCTGAGCCAGACAGAACTGCTCTCAAGTGTTGCAATAAAACTGGCACCAAACAAAAAAAAAAAAGAAAGAAAGAAAACTTCAGGCTGCAACTGCAGTGAAGGCATGGCAGCCTGAACCAAGTAACGAAGCGGACGTTTTATTTTCAGGTATTTAATTTGTTCAATTACTTTTGAGCCCCTGAAATAAAGGGATTGTGTTAAATGCTTCAGTTCCTCACATTTTATGCAATATTTTTGTTCACCCACTGAATTAAAGCTGGAAGCTGCACTTTAACTGCATCTGACTTGTTTAATTTAAAATTCATTGTGATAATGTACAGAAACAAAATTAGAAAAAAAAATGTCTCTGTCCAAATATTAATGGACCTAACTGTATGCTTGAATGATTCACGGGTGGTCTACAGTTACGTATATCAAAAAGCAAACAAAGCATTTTTCCTTTTACAAAAATCTCCTTTTATTGGATTTTCTCAAACCTGAACACAGAATGGCAGGAGGCTGCTTTTTCTATTCTTTTACGATGCAAAAACATGTTGCAGCAGCAGTAACCACTAATCTGTCTCCTTTTCTTCAAGTTACAGAGTTACTTAAGCACATTGACCTTTTTATGTTGGTCCTTGTTTTTGGTGTTTCTTTTTAAAAACACAACTGTTAGGCCTTATTTATGCTGTAGTGTTTGAAATTATTTTTAATGCTATAATTTCTTGTCAGCATTGTTAGCCTGTGTGTATTCTTTGTTTGCACCCCTTTGTAACAGAGACTTCTTCTGTTTGTCAGGCTATTGCTGAATGAAATGCTTCATGTTAACATATCTGTGCTCATGTAATCCTTCAGATGTTGACATATCAGTTACCTTTTATTACTCAGTGTTCTAATGGCATCCTGTGACTTTGGTAGATAACTTTACCAAAAACATGCAAAGTGTTGCCATAATCTTACTGTTCTTTGGACCTCTTACAAATTAAATTAAAATAATAAAGACAACCTGGTTCATGCACCACCATTTATTTGACATTTCTACAACACCTCTCTCCACCCCATATAGAAATGAATCACACACCCTTTTAAGTATGCATTTCCTCATTCATTGCTCATACTGGTGTCAATTCCATTCACCGTGACACTTTCATTTCTGGACTATATATTTAGATTCTTTGTTAGAAAAGAGAGGACGTTCAACGACACAGAAGGATACGGGAACACTGAAATACAGGAATATCAGGATACTGACACTTCAACACGATGCTGCTGATTCCATGTTACAAACAGAAGTTTTACAGAATAAGGGAAAGTAAGTTTGAAGAAACTTCTTGAGTGGACGCCTCATTGTTTTCATTGTTGTCACTCCAGGACAAAATGTCTTCTCAGTCGGAAAAGGATCTCTCCTGTCCCGTCTGCCGCGACATCTATAGAGATCCTGTCATCCTGTCATGCAGCCACAGCTTCTGTCGATTCTGTCTGCAGACGTGGTGGAGAAAGAATCTAAAACACACTGCCCACTTTGTAAGAAGACAAACCTGTCAAATGATCCGCCCCGTAACTTGGTGTTAAAGAACCTGTGTGAGGCTTTCTTACTGCAGAGAGATAAAAAACCTTCTGCAGTGTCTGAGCCTCTCTGCCGTCTGCACCATGAGACACTCAGACTTTTTGTTTGGATCATCAGCAGCCGGTGTGTGTCGTCT